TCTTTAAAAATATAAATAGAATGTATGGTAGTTTGTGGTAACTTCTCCCATCTGTGGTGATGGGAGAAGTTACCACCTAGTTTTCATTCACTGACCTTAGAGGTGGATCTCTATCATTTGACAGTGTCCTGCCAAGATATTCTAAAATTTGAAATAACACCATGCAATTTGTCAAGATGTCAAACCAAAAATTTTATCACATTAAATGCTCTATGCCTAAATCATGTTTAATATGTTTACATTTGCCATTGCCAGAATTTTTTGACTTAAGTAAGAGGCGTATTTTATAAAAGTTTTTTGGAATTTTTCTACAGGAAAACATATACATATATATATATTATCGAAAACTCTAAAAACTGACTTTGAACTTCTAAAACTGACTTTGAATTATATATATATATATATAATATATATATAATATATATATATATATATATATATATATATATATATCGAAAACTCTAAAAACTGACTTTGAACTTCTAAAACTGACTTTGAATTAGATGAACACCACACAGCACACATAGCAGGAGAACCAACCCAATAACCCAATAAACCTCCATCAGCCAACTTCCTAGAAGTCAATTTCATATATACCTGTCCAAGCTTTGAAGAAAGTTTAGTTGCTTTGTGCCAAACGTCAAGACTGTGCTTCAATGGAGATAATAGGTCATGTTTTCCTGTAGAAAAATTCCAAAAAACTTTTATAAAATACGCCTCTTACTTAAGTCAAAAAATTCTGGCAATGGCAAATGTAAACATATTAAACATGATTTAGGCATAGAGCATTTAATGTGATAAAATTTTTGGTTTGACATCTTGACAAATTGCATGGTGTTATTTCAAATTTTAGAATATCTTGGCAGGACACTGTCAAATGACAGAGATCCACCTCTAAGGTCAGTGAATGAAAACTAGGTGGTAACTTCTCCCATCACCACAGATGGTAATTTCCACACTGTACCTTCTTGATGATCTTGTCTTGTTCCTCATTAAATTCCTGATCTACTGTTGGTGAAACAAAGAGGCGTTCATTGGTCTAGAAGGAGGTAGTGCTTGACTTGCAAAATCGTTTGAATTGTGTGATGGAACCAGCAGCCAAAAGTAATGCACCTTCAATGACGTAGTTGATTGAAAAACCAGCAGCATAGACACCACTAGAATACCATACTTCTCTGCGTCCCATTTCTCGTTTTTCGTACTTCAGTGGTTGGAAAGAATTTATCTGCATTTCTTTTGAAGATCTCGGGGCCATTAACTTTTAATTCGTCGCAGAAATGGCAGCTACAAACACGCAAATTACTTCCCAGGGCTCGGTCTTGTCGTCTAAAAAGATAAATTTAATACGTATCTAACCATAATATACGCTATGGTTTAAAATGCTTTGACGATATAAAAGCCATTAAATCAAGACTACCAAAAAAAAGATAATTGCCATGAGATGTATCACGAAGTGAACCAACTAAAACATTCTTACCCCGACAGCTTTTTCCACCTTTCAAACTCACTAGCGTTCTTGGGAAATCTATAAAATTTGCATGTCTCCCTTTCTGACTGATGATTGCAGTCTGGGGCAAAACACTGTACCATCTTTCTTCGCCTATGTTTGCTACTTGAAACCAGACGCCATGATGAAAAATTTGTTAAGAACCAGTTGAAACGCTTCCATGGCAACCTGACGTCACGACTTCAGTACTCTATAGACAAAATTTTGAAATTATTTTCTTAACATGTAGAAATTAGGAAAAACACTGTGTCCATGGTAACTGCTACCATCTTTGAAATTTTGAAAAATTGTCTATTCATTGCATATGTTTATATCTTTGCCAGCTTTATTGGGAATTTCAAGTAAATAACTCAAGTTATACAGAAGATATGTTCTGCCCAAATCGAGTATGTCTGCAAAACACAGTTTTGAGAAAATCGCATTTGAAGTTTCAAAGGACATTGTCATAATATTAGCAGTCAAAGACCCCAATAATTAATAAACCTTAAAACGGTTCTTCCACGAACACGAGGCTACTTTTTTGGTTAGTTTCTAAAGTGTTTTTTTTATAGGTACTATAGGAGGAAGGTACTATAGATAAGGCATTATATGCTGTGCAATTACTATCAGAGAACGTGTTGAGAGTTCTTGAATAAAGTGGTCAAGAAATGGTATAGACAGATGAATTTTAAAATATGAGACTGTATCTGCTGGATCATTACTTCTGTAGATTCCCCTGTTACAAAATCTTGGAGAATGAACAGCTGCACCTACAGAATCTGCAATTTCAACTGTATCTTTGAACCAGCCATCATGGTATAAATCGATATTATTTCTTGCAGTTTGCAATGAAGATTTGATTGTAGATATTTCTTGCAACCCCTTTATGATATCAATGTGCTGTCCCTGTAATTGTACAGTAGCAGACCTAGCATAACCAAGAACCATCCTAACAACCACTAAGGAAATGATAAAATCAAAGTTTGTGAGGAAGGGAGAAAAAGAATAGGCATCAGCAGCACTATTGTCCCAGCTTCCAACAACATTGTCACAAATTGTGAAGAAAGCTTATTGCTTTATACATAACCATAAACCTCTCTAAACCATATATGCGAAGAATCCTTCTAGTTCTACATACTTCTGAAAAATGTGTCTACTTACAACCAGAATTAAATTTTTGCACCATTGTTTAAAAAAGTTTCTGTGGTTTTAGAGATTTATTAAAAAAACAAATTCTGGTCACCTTTGTCATCATATTGCGAACACTCTGAACCTGGCAAGAAGAGGCAACACATTAGTTAAGTCAGTGGGAAGAGCATTGTTTGTACAAGGCTAAAGGATTCAGATCAAGATTCTAGAAAACTTTCCAACCATATTTCCAGCTCCACCATAACACTGACCTCTACAGTTCTCTACAGAGAGTTGCAACTCATTTGTAATGAGATCAATAATTTCATCCTTTAGTGCATTGCCAGTAAGCCCTATGTCACAGTGGATGAATTTCAGGAATCTCTGCTTTATTTCACCAAACTTGTCAACATATCTAAGGATAACTGGCATTTTTCCTTGTTTGAGCAATCTCTTAATTTAGCAGCAAGAATAGAGAAAAATTTTGCCTCCTTTATCTCATTGATGATTTGCTCATTAATTGCGTCTCCGCAACAATAGATGATTTCATTTTGAATTGTCTTGGACTTGCAGGCTGCATTCCTGGGTGCTTTTTTGAAATGCTCTTTTAATACCTTATCCCTTTTTTGTTTCTTGTTGGTTTAGAACTTGGTTTTGTAAATGATTTATAGATGTAATTTCATTTTCCACGACAGAGACAAATGTTTGCATTGTTTTCAGTGCATTTTTGCGAATGTCTGATTTGCATTGGTAATCATTTAACCTTCTAACAGCAGCTGACCAGTCAGTAAGAGAGCTTTTCATGAGTCTTCCCAAAAGTGAATATGGTTTGTGATCATCTGTGATACAAAACAAAATATCTTCCTACAGGCATTTGAACCAATGGAAGCATTTGAAGCAAAGTCTTCTTCCACAATACCCAAATTGGGCAGATTTTAGCATCACTGATACTTAAAGCGAATGACCTATTAGGTAATTGGAAACCAGAAATGCTTGAAAGACTCTACTTTTTAATTAGTAAGTTAAAAGTGGGGACCTTCAAGCATTTCTGGTTTACAATTGCTATGGAAAAAACTATCATATAAAGTGGCTTTTGCAGAAGGAAAACTTTAGAAAGTCTCCTTCAATGAACTGTAAATAGTATATAAATATAGTGAAGAAAAGTATATGATTGTTTCAGATTTTTTATTAAAGTTTTCAAGTTTCTATGTATATACATGCACATAACAACTTGTTAGTATTTGTGTTCTTCAACAACAATATCTGGTATTTTATAAGAAACTGGCAATCGGCTGAAATACTTTCCTACCAATTCTGGCAATATAGCTTCATCAAAAAGGGCTTTACATTTTGTATTTTGTTGATTCCAAAACTCTCTATCAAAGCTAATATGCTCAAGGTGGAAACCAGCTGTGGTCCAAACAAAGAAGTCACAAACTTTAGTATTTGTGTGGGCTATCTGTTCTTGTACTTGATGGTAATATTGATAACTCCTTTTTAACTGTAGTCCCTCTTTTGTTACTTCTAGAAAAGAATCCTTAGGAGGATCTTTCAAATTTTCATTGCAAAGTTTGAACGGACATTTTATTTCCAGGCAATGTGGCACACATCCACGACACGAGCATTCAACCAATCCATCTGGTGTAGCTCCTAGATAGGGGCTTTCACTGCTTAAAGAAAGACCACACTTTTCAAAACAAGAGAATCGTGTTTTTTTGACTGCAGCTTTATAAATTCTTGCCAAGCAGCTTCCTCATTGTCAATTCCTCATCTTGTTGCAGCAGTTGAAAACTTTATCACTTGAGGGTAACAAATTGCCTTGATTAAGCTGAGAGATGATTTGTCACAAGGTGTTGATACAGGAGCTTTGATCTTTGATGCTGTAATCCTGCCAGCCTGAAGGAAAACCAAGCTTTGGAAGCTGTCTGACCCCTTGTCTCTTTTTCCACTGCCTTTACTTGATCTTCTGTAACTGTGTGATTTCATCAGCTTCAAGTTTACACCTTTGTAATAGATCTTCAAACAACAATGTTTCACCATTGGGATCATAAAGCTCAGTAAAAAGAGATAGGAATTGCTTTTTAACTGTTCCAGGAGTATATCCATCAGCAAAGAGTGGATGAACAGATAAAAATGCAGGCTTTGCTTTGAAAATTTCTTCCAGAGACTTTGAAAAATTTCCATCACTTGCTTTATAAGTAACGTTCAACTGACATTCTGGTGCTTGATCTGGACCAGATGGTTTGTTGTAATTTTCAATCTCTCTTTCAAGTTTTTTTTGAAGCTGTTTGCAGATGTGAAATTGATTTTTTTAATAGGGGCATACTCAATTTGAGACTTAGTCGAAGGTAACTTCCAGTAAACACCTTCTCCTGTCACAGTTTCCTTTTCTTGATGCGGGGGGGGGGGGCTAGGCCCATTCTATCCAATTTTCCACAAGACCAAATTTTATGTAATAAGTTTAGAAATCTCGTCTCTTTGCTCAATTTTACGAATGTATTGTAGATTATACGAATCTCTTTTCAGTTATCTTAATGGTCAAACAAATGGCTAGTGCATTTTTGGCACAGGTGGTTTCCAGTTGGCTATTTTATAGATAAGGGCCTCAACACGCCTAGCTCGTTCTTCCTGTCAGCGTTGTAGCCTTCCAGATTACCAGGAACATCGTGGTCCTGAGCACTGTCTTCACTCTCTGCATTGGAAAAGTCCGTTCCATTATTTGATGCTTCACCAGGGCCATTCGTGTCAAAAACAGAATGGTTTTTGCAAGTGAAACATGTGCTGAGTGCAGGCAGAAGGCATTGCAGGTGAAAGGAGTGGCCACAGCTAAATACGCCCCAGGTGGGTATACTTTCTGGCAGTCCTCTATATCGCATTTTCTATTCAAGATAAAAGAACATTGATAGAAAATTTGTTAGGTTTTGTAGTTTTTGTTGTAAAACTAAATGTGCATTTTTCTAATTGTCATCCACATCGTCATAACTGTTTGCTTTTCAGACTTGTAATTGCATTATGTTAATTTGATGTGGTTTTGTTACTCTAATGTGGTAATAAAACGCAAAAATTGATCAAGAACTAAGAAAAAATAAGAAGCAGCAGGATGTGGTACTACAAAATGTCAGAATTAAATAGCTTTGATATTAGAAGTACATATATTATTTATGAAGAGGTATACCTGCAGTGGCATGCTCTGACAGGACATGAATGGGGAATTGAGGCGTCCCTTCCTTCCACTAGGTTCCCTAGCTCAGGGCTATGAGTGATGGCCAACGGCTAACTCGGCAAGAGACCAGCAAGGAGGGCAGATGAGCTACGACTCCAGGGGGCAACAACTTCAGGCAGAAGAACTCCTCGAAAGAGGGATGGTGTGTCTTGAAAAACACTGTAGAGGTGGCTCTGGGGACTCATCTCTTTTATTAGCCTCTTAGTTTTATCTATGACCATGACAACAAACCAAAACTCCGATTTAGGGATAGTTGGAGGGGCATGATAGAAGACCTTCTGGTAGAAGATGTTACCTGATAATGATACCTGCAATATATATCAGATATACCAATCTAATATTTCAACAAATTCAGATTCTTAAACTAAAGAGAATGTAGCACCATACCGATTTGGATATGGAGCATTTGTCTCACACATGTAGCCAGTAGGAAGCAACTCATCACCTACAACTTTCTGCCTAAATAAGTTTGGTAGCCTCCATTTTGTTTCGTTTGTTTTTCTTTCTTCTGTTGTTTTGGTAACCTTCGTTGCTCGCCCCATGCTAGAGCTCCATGTGGCCACCTTTTCTGTGAGAAATGATGCTGTCTTAACCTTTAAGTTATCAATGCTTTCGGCTATATGTAGGTCTCCTTGGTGGCACAAATAATGAGTGAACATTTTCAACAGGCTATTCGTCAAAAGCTAGAAGAGAGGAAAAAATTGGAATGATTGGATGGCCAACCAATTTCCAGCACTCAATGTTGGAAAGAGCTATCAAAGGAGCCTTGTCATAATGCCTTCTCTTTAACACAAGAAACCCAGCAGCGAAATAAAGTTTGATATTACCCAGTTGCCTTGTTACTTTTTAATACCAATGAGTAAATACTGAGTGTCATAGGAATGTGAGTGTCAAGGAGATTGAGTAATGTAAGATATTCAATATCTTTACAATTTGGAAAAGCAGCAATGATCTCATCCCTAACCAATGTCCAACCACCTTATAGCACTTCCAGCAAGAATGAAATTATGTATGGCTTGGGCTTTTTAGATAATGAATTTTAAGTGGCGAACAAGAATGAGTACAGCTCAGCAAAGAAAGCATGAAAATCCTCTTGAATTTAATGAAATATGTAATGGGCCTATGAAAGGAACATTAATGCTACATTGATGAGATAATGTATTATCTTTGTTATATACAACTTGACGAACAAAGAACTGAGCAGGCCAATCAGCAACAAGAGGAACAACATATCTTTGAAGGTATGATGACAAACCGTTTTCAAGCAGTATGAACGAAGCAGTGCGAAAATTGTCATAATATTTCAGTGCCATCTCTTTTGAGTCAACTAGCTTGCAGTTATCCATAGTTCTTAGCTGTTTCATTCTTTGATAGTAATGGATAAACAACCTATGTCTCTCTGATTCAGGGTCAAAAACTCTGCTTTCATCTAGTCTAGCATTACACCAACTTAGCTCTTTGATAAAAAAACAGTGTTGTTGCCAAGAACACTTTTTAAGTTCTCCAAGTTTGCTGACTTCATATCATTGCCTGGAAAGGCTGCATGGCTAATTGCTTCAACACTTTAGAATGACTTTAATAGAAGTGTTGCCATGTGAGTGACTTGTGATGTTGCAGAAGTAGTGACGCATCGATTAGCATGGATATTATGGTAATCATCTCAAAGATTGTTCGCAGTTTTACTACGATTTGCAGCAATGCCTTCATTGGTGTTAATAACTGTGTGTGGGTGTGCAGTAAAGCACATATTATGGAGGGTTTCCATGCCCCTACTTGTAACCCCAAAGCCTCTTGGAGCCATGGCAGTTGCCACTTGAAACCAGTTAGCCCTCTGTGACTGACTGTAGACAAGGCTGTATCTAATTGAAACACTTCTTTTTTCATACAGATCTAAAAGTACTCGAGACGAGATAAACAACATCTGTGGCGAGTTTGTTATTTCTGAGCTTCGGTCAGAGATTCATGAAGCTAGGTTCTTTTCGGTTCTTGCTGATGAGGCAGCAGATATTAGTAATATTGAACAGATGCCCCTGGTAATCCGGTTTGTTGACAATTTGGCAAAAATACACAAAGAGTTTATGGGCTTTATTCGCTGCTCTGAAGGCATGAAAGGCAAAGATATAGCCAATACAATCCTTCAGGCTGTTGAAGGTATTGATTTAGACATGAACCTTTGTCGTGGCCAGGGGTATGACAGTGCTGGCGACATGGCAGGCAAATGCTCTGGAGCTGCTGCTAGGATATGCCAGTCATATCCTTAGGCTCCTTACACTCATTGTGGATCACATGTGCTAAATCTTTGTGTAGCCTCTGCTTGTCAAATTCAGGTTGTCAGAAACATTATGGGGCATGTGTGTGTTGTAACAGAATTTTCAATTCAAGCACTACACGATTTGACATCTTGCAGAAAGCCATCGGAGAGGTGCTTCCTGCTTCGCGTCACAGCCACCTCAAAGATGTTGGCCAGATAAAGTGGGTTGAGAGAATTGCTGGGCTAGATGTATTTGTGGAGCACTATGATGCCGTTGTAAGATCTCTCAAAACTATCATGCTAACTTTAGACCAATCGTGGAATTCTGATTCTGTCTGTGACAAAAGTGGCTTGTTCTATGCAACAACATTTATCTAGAGTGGTATGACGAGGCAGTATCTATTGCTGAATGAAACTCTATTTTTCCTGCGATGCCTCGAACTGTTCTAACGCAAGTTAACTGCTCTAATGCTCCTTCTGAATCAGTCTCTCAGTATTATCAACGAATTTTCGCAATCCCTTTCTTGGATCACCTGTCAGGCCAAATGCAAGCTCATTTCTCTGATAGAGACATGTCGGTTTTAGACAGATTTTACAGTACGCTGAATATGATTGCAGCTTCTCCTGAGTAGGAAAAAAGATTCCGCTCTTTTCTCGATCTTTATATCAGTGGTTCCCCTGAGCCAAGATATATCACGACTTAACTGATGATGTGGAAAGACCATTGGCAATCCTCAAGAAACATCCCATCAACATTATCTGCACTTCTTCCGAAAATTGACAAATTAACATTCCCAAATATATATGCTTGTTTCTAGATCATAGCGACATTGCCAGTAACAACATGCACTTGCAAGAAGTCTATTTCTGTTCTTCGCAGGCTAAAGACAAACTTTTGAAACACCATGTTGCAACAAAGATTAAAATGGGCTCAAGTCAGCTGAGTCAAGGTCAATACTGATGAGATAATTGATTGTTTTGCAAGAAGGAATCCTAGACAGATGAAGCTGATCGACATATTAAACACAGACCCTGACTGTGAATAATTACCAGCAAAGTGCATACTGTGAGCTACTGGCTCTCACCTATCTAAGGCTGTTTCTGCTTTCAACATCATTTGTTGTTTACTATACTTTGTCTTAAAGGACAAGTGACACGCTTTTGGCGCCAAATTTTTTTTTTCTTTTAACTTAAAGTATAATGCTGTATGAGAGTGTTGTTGAAATATTTTTCCTTTCTGATTTCATTTTCCGACTTAAAAACCCATTTGAAATTATGGCGGGAAATGAATCACGTGACACCGTGACGTAGATTGTGATAATTTGTTATTGCCGCTACTGGTATCAGGGCAATATTAACGTTTACAACACGTTTCGTAAACTCTCTATCAATTACAGGAAAATTCTGAGTTATCACAATGTACGCCATGGGGTCACGTGATAAAAAGCAAAATCGCACCCCCTGCGCCCCCTGATTAGAATTTTTTGTTCCAAACCAGGAAAAACCTTGTTTAAGATACCCTGAATTTGACCCATCAAAGTGGTCCTCGTTTGTTGCTCATTAAACATTTAGGTTTTCTTTGTTTCGGAAATCCTGAGTTTGACCCGTCAAAGTTGTATGCCATTGTTGATCATTAAATTGTTAATAATTTGATAAAGATATTTTGTGTTTGATAAATAGGTTTTTATGATATCAAAATGTAGATAGATTTCTATGTAGTTTTCTCGGTAGTTATTGAGACTTCATCTAATCAAGTAAAATTCTTTAAGTAAGGCCATAGGGCGTTACATGGCAACTGAATAGGGCGTTAACTGGCAACTGAATGGGGCGTGGCATCTTGCCTCAACTGCAAAAAACTGAAGCACCTCTCAAAATTTAAGCTGGATCCGCCCCTGGTATCTGCCTCAGGATTCGCAGGAGCTTCTGAGAGTTCAGGTTTTTCCTCAGTTTCAACACGAATCAAAGCTCTTCCTGGCTTTTTCCTGGCAGCTTCATATCCAAGATGTAAAGTTGGAATTGGGTTTGCAAGAGTTGGGCAGCCATCCACAACAAGAGTTGAGCAGCCATCCACAACAAGAGTTGGGCAGCCATCCACAACAAGAGTTGGGCAGCCATCCACAACAAGAGTTGGGCAGCCATCCACAACAAGAGTTGGGCAGCCATCCACAACAAGAGTTGGGCAGCCATCCACAACAAGAGTTGGGCAGCCATCCACAACAAGAGTTGGGCAGCCATCCACAACAAGAGTTGGGCAGCCATCCACAACAAGAGTTGGGCAGCCATCCACAACAAGAGTTGGGCAGCCATCCACAACAAGAGTTGGGCAGCCATCCATGTTGAAAACAGACCATGTCACTTTGGCCAGAAGTCCAAGGCTTGTTTTTGCTTGTCACCCTGCCTAATTTGGGTATTCATCTTCTCACTTGGAAATTCCACGATTTCAGCCTGTAGTCGCTGTTTTGAAGCCAACCACAGCGCAATTTCCATTAACCGTTTTGTGACCTGCGGTGGCCTAAACTTCTTTCAATTCTGTGAATTGTCAGAGCTTTGTACTCAAAATAGTTTAAAAAAAAACTATTTCAAAGCTAACAAATCACAAACCAGCAAGTAAGAGCAAATTACAAATGAAAACAGCGGTTCAAAACGAAGAAAAATCCTTTGATGATCAATTACAGCACACTCTTTTAATTGGTAATCGCATACGAAGCCAGAAATCTTTCACCCCAAAACTTGGTTGCTGTCCATCGAAGTGGTGCCTCAGTCGACTTCAAAGATGCATTCTGTGGTTGCCTGTCCATAGAGACTACCAAAATTACTTTAAATTTTTCTGGCAATGTAAATTTTACGAGTTTTAAGGCATGCCCAATGACTATGGTCCAGCCATGCGAATTTTCACTTACGTTTTAAAACCCCCTTTCGCCTGATGTTGATGAAACATGGCAACACTCAACAAGAATTTTTGGATAATCTAAAAGCAACAGTTCCATTACTAAGTAATTTGGTGTTTACAATTCATGTCAAGAAGTCCCAGCTGTTACCAGTTTAAGAGAAAGAATTTCTTGGGTTTCTCATTAATTCCAAAAATATTACTTTTGAGTTCACTGATTATAAAGTAAATAGTATCCGCAAAAAAATTCCAGATTCTTGATCATGAAAAAGCCTACTATAAAAGGTCTTGCCTCGGTCATTGGTACTATCATATCCTCTTTTCCAGCCATCCCATATGGCAAACTGCACTATCACAATTCCGAAAAATGTAAAATTGAGGCTCTCAAAATTAATGAAGGTGATTTCATGGCACCCATTATCATCAGCCCATCCATTATTCTTGAGCTGCAATGGTGGCTTGACAACATTGCCAATACGTCTAACCATCTACACTTGCCTGATGTTGACATTTTCATACACACTGATGCCAATGAAAGTGGATGGGGAGCTACTGATGGCATCAACCCCATTGGAGGTCCATGGCTGCCCTCAGAAATTCAACATATTAATTGCCTTGGACTTCAAGCAGCCTAATATGCTATTAAATCATATTGCAGAAGCAATAAATTTAAACATATTACGATCATGTATGACAATCAGACAACTGTGGCATACAAAAAATCTAGACATTTTCATGATAATACTGAATGGCAGCTCTTACCTATGCATTTCAATACTATTATACGCTCACTGAAGTTTATGCCTACAGTTTACTTATTTCCTTCCAGAGTGAACCATCAGTTAAATAAATATCAAGCAGTGAGGGCAAGCATATCCAAGGTTTCATTTTATCTTTACTTTCCTTCGCACCTTTTTGGTACTTATCATATTTGCTTTTCCACTCACAGCTGTGATTGAGAAAAAGAAGAAACTGCTACCCAGCACGATTGCTATCAAGCTTATAAATTTAGCTACTGCCTTGATTTTTGACACATTTGCTGCAAAGAGATTGCGTGGATGTAAAACGGCTGCATGTGACATCATTTCACATGCTTGGTCAGTAAAGCGCTTGTCGAGTTCACTTGCTTGGTCGAGAAAAGCGCATTGTATCTAAAAATGGAAAGTAGAGCTGTCATCTGAAGCATTCCAAATCTGATTCACCATCTGGTTGATTGCATGGGACACTTGATGTTTCAAGAATTTTTTGCCCATCTGTGACACGAGCTGGGAGTGTACGCCCATGTTTCGATTGCAAAGCTGCTGATTTCGAATTGGTGAAGCATGTATCCAGAATTTGGCCGCCACACTTTTCAGCAAAAGAAGTCGCTTCGACGAGGAAGGTTTCGAACTCCTTGTCAGAATGAAATGATTCCATCATAGCTCTCAGATCTCGAATGGCAGCCACTCAAGAGGCGAGATCCATATCTTTGTTTTGGAGATACTTTGAAGCATAATGACTCAACGAAAAGCATTTCTTGAGTATGCAAATATATAAATCGAAATTTCCTAAGACGAACCAGCAAACCAGTTGCTACATTAGTGTGGTGCTCGGGAAGCTCCTTGAACATTGACAACAGGACAGGGTACACATTCAAAACAACCTCTAAATAGTCTGAGCGAGCAGACCACCTTGTATCAGGGAAGGAATGCAAAGCGATCTTTCCAGAAGTGATTCCTTTTGCCGCCTTCAAGTGTTTTCGTATACTTTGTGTCTTTAAGGTGACCCTTCCATGAAGTTATATATGTCTCCAATGGTTTCAAAGATTGCTTTGATTGTTTGTACGTCTTTTATGCTATGCTCAAGAACAAGATTAAGTCTGTAGGCAAAACAATTAAAATATATTGAAAATTCGGCACCAGCTTTTGTCAAGTGCTGCTGCACACCTTCGTTCTTGCCAGACATATCTGCAGCACCATCAAAGCCTTTACCAATTAGATTTTTCAGTGGAAGCTTGAGGTCATCCAATGTCTCAATTATAACTTCAGCTAAAGATTTCCCTTTCAGGCTGCACACCTGCACAAGCCTGATACACCGTTCAATTATTTTAAAATCTGTCACATACTGAAGTATAATTGACATGAAGGATTTTTGTGAGAAGTTACTTCGTCACACTCAATAGAAATATGGTTGGCTACACATACTTCGTTCCAGATAATCTCAGTGATCAGGTTACTGAGAATACTGATCATCTCATTCTGGCTCATGTGGGAGAAATTTGTAACGTTCTGAGGATGAGTATCCATCCATTTCCTCAGGGGTGCATGGTACTTTGACACAAACTCGAGTTCTTCCAAAAAATTCCCTTTATTCTTGGAATCTGTTGATTTGTCATGGTCACGAAAAGCGGTGTTCTGTTTGGCCAAATGTCGAACAGTTGATTCTCGATCCTTTCTTCCTCCTTTCTAGCCCACATTTTATGGGCAGCGTCATTAAGCTGGACGTCTATAGGATTAGCTGACGTGAAATTGTGTCTATGCTTTACAGAGAGCATATGCATCCTTGAATTCGCATGTTTTGCTAGTTTCGCCTTCTCTCCTGCAGCATTTTTCCAATTACCAAATCAAGATTTTGTGAAGGCATCATCTGAGCTCCCAGCATCATCAGTGCTCTTGCTGCGATTTTTAGAATGAAATGGAAAAACATTCATCATTTCAGGAAACAAGAACTCCAAAACCTGTTCCAGAAAAACAAAGAAATGAGTGACTAAAGAAGGGCAACATGATTGAAATAATTTCCCTTACCAAGCATCTGCAAACGAAGCAAAACGCAGCGTCTTGTGAGATAGAATATTCAAGCCAATTGAATTCTTCATACCACTTTCTTTGAAACTTAAACTTTCTCCCTGCTTGTTCTGTCTGTGGAAAATAAAATAAAGGTCTTATTGGACCAGTTTCAATGACAAAGGCTCTGTTCGCTTCATTCACGATTTCATCTCATGATTCCATTCACGATTTCATTCACGATTACTTCTAGACATTTGTGATTAAGATCCATTATAAATTATGGCAGAAGCATCTGTTTGTCTTTCAAAGGAATCAGCAATTCAGTTACAAAACCGAAGATCTATCAACATATCATTCTGTTTCAGTATGAGGGCATTCAACAAAAGATAGCCTAAAAGAAATATTGGTGCTTTTTGACAATTTTTTCATGAAGTAATTTTCCATAACCTAAAGTGGCAGTTTCTAAATCATAAAGTTTCGGGGAAAATGAAATTACTTGATGTCAGACACAGATACAGACTCAATATCATTTGTTATCTTAAAATTTTTTTGCATCAACTGAAGTCTGATGAAGGAATTCCATTGTGACATCATCACTAGAGTCGATTCTCACTGGATGCCCCAGGAACCAAAAGTATGTTGGGTACCAGAAAACAGCATATCAATTTTCTATATTGGGTTCAATCAAATTAGGAAATGATATGTCTCTACCTTCATCACTTTCTCGTATTTTCTCAATCTGGAACTGGCAGATGATTCTGTGCTATAAGCTTTTGTAACAAGCTACATTTCTTTAGTATACTTTATATCCCCTCTTTTTATTCTCAGCACTAAATACATCTTTGAGGTGAAAAGACTCTTCCTTTGCATAAATAGCTGCGCTAGATATGAAGATCTGCTGTAGAATGAGCCTCATCTTGTGCAAAGCTTGAGTAATTTTCAACAAAGTCCATTTGCAAGACTGCAATCTTGATATCCTTGTTTGAGGCAAGCTCCTTGTCACACTGGTAGCTCTTTGCCTGCTGTCGCTTTTTATGTCAGTGATGCAGGGATTTGGTTGTCATTAAGGCAATGTGTTCATACAAATCTATTACCCTACCAATCATCCCTAGTTTGGCAATCATTCCGGGAGAGGGTAACACATACCTTGCATATAAGTCACTATCTGGATGATGCAGAAAATATTTTTGAATAACGTGGAATTCAAGCAACATGGCTATTAATTGCAAGTATCATATTCTCATGGTTAATGCAGGTGCAGACATTTGAAGGGGCTTGTGAAGGGGTGGTTGATGTCCTGCAAATTTACTCAATCCTATTTAACCTAAGGTGGTGAATGTTACTTTTTTACTTTTTTCATCAAGTAGCTCTTTCCTCTTGGCAAGACCTTCAGCCTCAATCTTTCTCATCTCTTAAGCTCTGTATTTACGACTGTATGCAGCATTTTTTTCCTTATCTCTTTTTGTTTGCTGCCTTTCAGCAGCACTTAATCGTTTTTTTGTTTCTTTGTTAACAGGAGCCATTTGCATCAAAATGTAGGTTGAACACAAACCAAAACCTTTCAAAAGAAGATCTCGCTCGAGCCTGTAAGATAACCAAACCTACCAAGTATGCTAAATTTGGTTTCTTCCCTGTTTCCATGGTTACCAACATGGTAAAGAGATTTACAGCCTCATTTTTATGAGAAGCTAGTATTCTTACACATCATTTAGTATTCTTTATGTCTATAACTTATATCTGGTAGCCAAATAAAGAAATTAATTCCTTAACATTCTCTACCTAAATCCAACCCATTAGTCCAATGTTACCGATGTATTGTGACTGGCGTGACAAAACTTGAGGATTATTTCTTTGTAAAAAATTACTAGGCTGATCAATTTCAGTCTCTAGGAAAGCACGGACTTTTATTTGAAAGCCAAAATATGCTGAAACAAGAATTAAAAAGTGACAAATGAGAGTACTTTTATTCTGAAGTGTGACTCACATGACCATTTAGAGAGGGTCTTTTCAGTGTGGCATTACGTAATTATTCATCACTTAAAAAACTTTTTTGACTACCTAGATATCCCTCATATAAAAAGAATAAACAAACATGAAAATAACAACAAAATCTCATTTATTTAAATAATGAGAGCTTTTTTCTAAAAAATGGTGCAAGTGTCTGTTGATGACCTTTAGCAAAAGTAAGGTCAGGTATAGCCATAGCCACGCCCATTACCAGCAATGTTGGGAAATAAAATCATAAATATGCTTAAGCAAGGTATTTTACCACTCAAAAAGCAACTTTTCACATTCAAATTTCAAAACATTTTTTCATCAAGATGTGTTTTTTCTTTGGAATGGCTGTTCTTGCTCAGTACTGCCATCTTTTGCCAAATCTTTCATAAGATATGGTAGGAAGGCAGGGTCTCCAGGCAAGCATATAGAAACAGGCGCTTTGACATCAACTAAAACTTTGGGACAGCTTGGAGTTGATCAATCTTTAAGCATTTCATTCATCATTTGCATTACATTTACAAAAGAAAATTATTTGGTAAATTACTTGATAATAACTTAATTTCAACACTATTTGAAGGATACTAATTAATGATCAATGTTGTATTTTTATTTCATTTTGATCGATGTTGCGTTTTTGAAACTGACATATATCTACATTTGTGGATTTCTCTCAGAGCAACTCAGATTATCAGATGATCGAAAAAATATGCTTTCCATTAAAACACAATTTAGCTGCTCCATTGTTGTGTATATTTCGATACAGAGAACTCTTAAATGAGAAACATCCATGTAATTTTTTGTGATTTTGTTAGTAACCCTTCATATGGAGAATGATGTCACTTTGTTCTTGTTATTCAAACTTCGACTTGGTGATACAAGATTGCTCCTCAAACCTGCTTGAAAGAGGATAGCCTCTAGTGTCTAACTGTGGGTAGGGGTGGTATGGAGCAGTTGCTGCCGTTAAAACAGTATCAGTAACAGGCAAGGAAGGATCAGGAAATGATGAACAAAAGAATCACGGCAAAATTACTTGAGATAGCTTGCAAAAATTTCTGTTTGACAGCTCAGTTTATCTCCTCAACTTTGGCACTGGTCATAAAATCATCTTTGCTTCTGAATGTGAGGTTCAAATGTGCCTCTCAATCAGCCGGAGAATTGAAGACAGTGCTAACTTGCTGTTTCTTCCTCAAATTGAAATCGGCCATTTTCTGCTTGGTGGTGATGCCTCTAAGTCCTTTGCAAGTAACACAGTTCCTGATAAGCGATGATACAAGTCGTTTGCTTCCTATGATCCAGAAGCCAGCACTTCGAATGGCACCTTCTGTTTATAGACAGGACATATAGCCTGACAATCTGACATTCAAGCTAATGTTTACTTTCTCAACGGATTCTGGTAGTAGAAAGTTCAGGCTTTCATAATCTGCCAGGTGACTTTTTTGAAAATGCCTGGATGTCACGTGACTGATGACGTCATTTAACGGTAAAAAGTCAGACAAAATCATCGCTAGCTCCTCACTAAAGGGTTATTTTTTAACGCAACTTACATATATTGACTCGTCTCATTGCAAGCTTTCAAATGATATATATTTAAGCAAGATTTGCCGACATAAGTATTTTCATTATGACGTCATAACAAATTTTGCATGACGTCATCAAATATTTTATTGTCATAAAATGATACGTTAGCATAATTTTGTTTTAATATGACGCTGGCTGTCAGCAAAAGCTTTTCTTCCAAATGTTTTTCAATTAAAATATTAGTATTTAGTTCATTTAAATTGAATTTGTGCCCACCGCAATAGCCAAAGTTCGAAACAGGTAGTAGTCACTATCTGACGAGTGAGTCACTTCTTCCTCCGAAGTCGCAAAGTCTTGCTCCCACTCTGAACCGGACAATTATTTCTCTGCATCTGCATTTGACTGTTGCTAAGTCGGAAAATATCTTCGCACTATTATAGGTTGTCCAAGATGTCTTCGTACTATAGGTCTTTAGCGCTGGGTATGAAAGTGTATGATTTTCTCAATGGGTAAATTCATCTCCTGCGTCACCTTCATATTCTTGTGATGTAAAGGAAGCTCTCGGAGATGAGGAAGTTGCTTTCCTGTGAACCATTTAGACGGTCGAGTATGTCGTCCAAATTTCAACAGCAGGCTTTTGGGACATGTCTTGCAGTAGTTGCACCTAAACAGTGTAGCCAAAATAACCTTGTTAAGTTGATACAATTTAATTCTTTTCTGATTGAGTGATTATGGATCTGCTGGAATTGGGGCAGATGATTTTTTTCAGATTTGATAAATATCTTTGTCCCTAAATAGCTTTTATATGTTGTTCCACTATATTCTGCTGTTTCGCGAATGTCTTTGCTTTTGCGATAACTCCTTTGGAGAGACTTTTAATGATGACTTGTTTCTGGTTCCTCGTTAGCTTTTTTCACAGTAACCTTATTAATGTTGTGCTTATATGCAGTTGTCTCAGATTTTGGAACCAAAAGTTTCAGCGATGCCTCAAATCTTGACGATTTGTTTGTTATTTATGCACATAAACCACTAATTTGTGGGTTTGCACTTCTGTGTTGCATGAACAAGCAGCACAAATCAGTATCTTTTGCAACAGCAACTACTTTTGCATCTTTCGAGTTACCATGCAAAATATTCTGGTTTCCGCCTTTTTGTGGTTACATCTTGGAGGGACTTCTACTTGCTTTTTGAAGTCTCCGATGCTTCTCCTCCTTAAGCTACGATAAATTGAATTGTCAGGGGCCTGTGACCCTCAGCGCTTCGAAAGAATTCGGGAGCAAGTCTCATAAGATTCTCTTTTTTTCATCAATGTAAAAATACTCTTCTTACTTTGGAGTATCTTTTGCTCTCCACTTTTTATATGCACTTGCCTTGTTGACTCTCTTTTGCCGTTAGCTTGCTCGTGTGCTGTTTCTAAATATTTAGCGTTGACTTTGTTTCCACTTTCATTGCTTTAGCCTCATAAGGAGGATTAGCACATCTCTGAATGTTCTTGAACCAAACACTGAATGTTTTCTTGGGTTTGATGCTACGAACTCAGGCCGTCTCATCAAATCTCCATCTGGCGTTTTCGGGTGGCGTTTTTACAAAATGTTCTCACGGACTGATGACACTAGCGCTAACATTGAAGAAATATTTCAAAGAAATGAGCTATTTTGCTCGAATGGTAGGTTGTTGCTAGAAACGAAAGTATAGTCAGAAACTTAAGCTGCATTCTGGGGCACAAAGATCCAAGAAAACAGCGAAAGCAGTCTCAATAATGAACGAAGACCACCAAGCTTTCGTGATTGGCAAGGCTGCCTCTATCGAAAAGGCATTTTCATATCCCATCAAAACCATAACTCTAGTCTTGCAACTCCTGAAGGTGTACTGTGACAAGGAGATAAAGCTGTTCTTCTTAATTTCATGTGTAAGGAGCCAGATCCATATATAAATCCACCATCAGAAAAATGGCAGATGGAGTATTTTATTTATGAGATGGCCTTATTCGCAGCAGAAGATAGCCTTATTGAAAAAAGTCATGCACCTTCAGCACATCGGTAGGACATCTTGGATAGCCTATATTGCCAAGACATTCTTCCGATTTAGTGTAACATTCAAATGCGGATGCAGAGAAATCATTGCCCGGTTCAAATATGGAGCAAGACTTTGCATCTTCGGAGAAAGAAGTGACTCACTCGTCAGATAGTAACGACTTCTTTATTTAAACTTTGGCTATTGCGGTTGGCACAAATTCAATAAAATCAACTAAATACTAATTATTTTGATTGAAAAACATATGGAAGAAAAGCTTTTGCTGACAGCCAGCGTCATATTAAAACAAAATTATGCTAACGTATCATTTTATGACAATAAAATATTTGATGACGTCATGCAAAATTTGTTATGACGTCATAATGAAAATACTTATGTCGGCAAATCTTGCTTAAATATATATCATTTGAAAGCTTGCAATGAGACGAGTCAATATATGTAAGTTGCGTTAAAAAATAACCCTTTAGTGAGGAGCTAGCGATGATTTTGTCTGACTTTTTACCGTTAAATGACGTCATCAGTCACGTGACATCCAGGCATTTTCAAAAAAGTCACCTGGCAGATTATGAAAGCCTGAACTTTCTACTACCAGAATCCGTTGAGAAAGCAAACATTAGCTTGAATGTCAGATTGTCAGGCTATATGTCCTGTCTATTACCTTCGTCCTTGATGTTTTGTCTCTTCATGATACCAGTGTGCCTCCAGGTCTGTGATGTGGCAATTTTGTGGTAGGACGGTTGGATGTCTTTGATTCTAGGGCACTTCTTGCTGCTCACATCGGCCACCGACACGTATCAGACCATCTTGTCCTATGAATGTAGCAAGGCTTTGAATGGCATTGCCTTTTCCAATGTGCTGGCTGTTTTGCAAGCATTTTATTTCTTGTGAGTAGCTTTCCCTTTGAACAGTTGCAAAGATCACATGTGATGCTGATTGGAGAGTTCCTTTATCTGGTTGTAAGCTGAACTGTTTCCAGCCTCCTCCGTCCCCATTCTGGAATCCTCTAGCAACTTGAATCAAACTGGGGATTGATCTTCTCCAATTCAATTCAAGGCCATGTGGTTGCAATGTCATCTTGAAAGCAGAAGGTTCTGGTCCCACTTCAAAATCCGCAGCTGGCTCTACCAGGTTAAAGGGCCCTGGTCAACCAGTATGCATTGCACGTTGTAATAAACGAGCGAGCAACTCATGTTGAGGACAAAAAGCGAGCAACTCATGTTGAGGTTAATCACTGACTGAATTACTAAACAATAGGCTAAGTGTTATATACAAACGAAAGCGAGGTTAGGATAATAATTATGTATGTTAATTAATGGCATATGATCCTACTACAGTCCATCTGTTCTATGTAAAAAAAGAAAAGAACTGGAAGGGATTTTCTTTTTTTGCACGACAAGTCCGATATTAAGTTCCTTCAAAATATGCTGTAAGAGCTTGAATGGTTGAAGTTTCGTAGTGGCAACATTTGGCAGTAAAGTTCATGTTCCCATGATGAAATTGGATTTCAGATGCTGCAGGGGAAATTTCGGCGGCAGTTTTGGTGAGATGATTTTTACCAAAGATTATCTGTTCTTGTAACTGCCGGATAACAAGCATTTGAAATCGATAGACTTTTGCGTTGGGAAACTTCAAAGGAACCGTTATTGTGCCACATGGGCGTAGATGCGAACCATCAGGCGAAAGGATAGCGTGACGTGAAGAATCGAGAGGTTCAATGGATTGGTTATTGCCAGCGGATGTCATTATCTCTTTGGCGAATTCCAATGAAACTGAAGAAGCAGGAAAGCATGTTGCTATGGGCATTGTGATGTTGCGATCAGCACAAACAATGGGAAGGGCCAATATGCTTCTTTCCTCCTGAGCAATGGAGTTGTTTGGCGTTGTGGAAGAGGGCGTTGATGAGTCACGAGTGCCGGAGGATGCCAAAGGCTGAGGCAACTTGTTCCTTGGGTGGTGTTCATGAGTTTTGGAAATGATGAGTGATTTAAAACGATTGAAATCGCGGCAAATATCAACTGGGCAGTTCTTCGTAAGGAGCTTCAGGCAATGTTGCTTGAAATGCCCTTTTCCTTTACAATATGTGCAATCGAATATTGTAGCGAATTTGGCAAAATCGTCGAAAACAAGAAATAGAGCGACGGTTCACCAGAAATTTTTTGAGGGTCCTCCACCAGTGGTAACAGGGGTTAGACTTTCTCTAAAACCCTTGTCACTTCGAGTAGTCAACGAATTGAGAGTGAAGACAAAAAGCGAGCGACTCGTGTTGAGGTTAATCACTGACTGAATTACTAAACAATAGGCTAAGTGTTATATACAAACGAAAGCGAGGTTAGCATAATAATTATGTATGTTAATTAATGGCATATGATCCTACTACATAAGTCGGGGGGAGGGGTCTTCAAAGTTTACTTCTTGTGTACTTCAAAGTGTACACCTTTAGTCGGTAACCAATTAAAAAAGAAGCTCTTGCAGTATGGGGGCTTCATCTCTGTCAGGGAACTTGAAAAAAATTTGAGGTACATGTGCCTTGTGCACTAATTTCATTGTGATTTTAATATGTGGCAATTTTTCTCTAGCCAAAATCAGCTGGTCAGGAAAATCAAGACCTTATAGCTACAAATGCACAGCATATGGCAGATGGTGCAGAGAGAATGGAGGCTGAAATAAATCATGCCAGACAAAGAATAGAGGTAATTTTAGCACTCAAATATAAATATACTCTGTGTTACTGAGGATTTGATACCAATAATTGAGTAAACACTTTTCAACAAATAAAGATATAATAAAACTTTCTTATCATCTTCTTTAGGATATAATACAAGACCTCTCACATGATGTCCTCAAACAGCTTTTTGTGGAATTTGCAGCAGTTGGTACAGGGAGCGAGGAGTATGTCAGGGATTTGATATTTTCAATTTCTAATCCTGGAGTGGCCATAGAAAGACCAAACTCTCAGCCTTGGTGTAAGTGTGGTGTATGTTTTTCAATGCCTGACCCTGAGGAAAACAAGTGCTGTGGAAGGGTCATATGTGTAACCTCATACCAACTTTTCAACAAGATTTGCATTGACAGGGATGTTTTAAAGTTGCAGATTATGGCAAACACCGTGCAGAACCCATGGTGTTTACCATGAATGCATATCGAAAAGCAGGTTATCAACAATTTACCTTGTGGAAATATGGTAAATTTGGAACTGGAAACAGGAGAATTTTACCATCATGTGTGGTTAACATGATAAGAAAAGCATACCCCTCCCAAGATGATGTATATATGGGGTTCAGACATTCATGAGAACTCTAAATAATTTCATTGTGAGGCAAGACAGGTATTAATATGCTAATGTTAATTTATGTTAATGCTAACTATACTTAGTAAACAAAATGTTTACAAGCACATAAAGAGGTTAATTGAACTTTATATATATAATAGGGAATATAAAAAAGCAAAAATTGTGTTAAACACTTCCCTTTTTGTGTCATCACCATTATAATCTTTTTTAAATTTGTTTATTGCAAATGTGAAGGAAAAAATTGGTCAAGGTAAATTCTTGCATGACAATTGCAATTGTCATTGTAGATCATCAGCTTCTTTGGTTAGAATTCCACAGGGGATTAAATATACCTCCAACGTGTACAACTTTTTCAGAACTGAAGCAATCCTATTGATGCAGAAATTCTAACCTTTTTGTCGGAACTTTTCCATTGCTTTCGGGCATTTTTCTTCTTACCATAATTGCGTAGTGATTAGTTGCTTTTCCTGCGGTTCACTTAGATTGATCGCATGGTGAACTCGTTAGGATCGCGGTAGAACCTTTAACATTGCTTATTTACTCTAAAACTTGGCTACAGATACATGTTTAGGTAAATTTAGTTATAAGCGTTCAGCGTGTTATAGGCATGCAGCGTTATTTCTACATAAAAATTGCTGTTAATTAGCTTTAGTTGACGTAAAAATGCACATGTTATTCTTGCTTCTTATTGGTAGTTAAAATTGGAGAATTTTTGTGGCGTTAATCAGAACCAGGGACTGTATATTTAAAAGAGAGCGCGTTAATTGTGAATTTAGATGCATCGTAAGATGTAAACACGATGGTTGATACCAATGAACAAGGTAGCAGAGCAAATTTGTCTTGCTATTCTCCAGCATTCATCTTAAGATACTTCTAAAAATCTTTAGAATTAGCAACTGGGGAGTTTATAGTCCCAAAAACTGGTCCACCGAGCGAAGATTGGAAGTAAACAGATGCGATGGGTGAACTGCCGAAGTTGAAGAGAATCCGAGGAGGCCACAGAAGTTTTTCGTCAAGGCTGATAGCAAGAGTTGAAGACAGCAAAGACGATGTGAAGAGCTTGAGGCAACTGGAAATTCAACTGAAAGAACAACTAGAGACCCTGAAACCACTCGACGAGAAGATACTCAATTTGATGGTCAGCGAGGCTAGAGATGACGACGAAACCAATGAGGAGCTAACTAGAGAAATAGAGGAATGCGGTAGCTTCAAAGAAAAGGTAAATTTGGCAATTATTAACATCAAGGACTATTTAAAACCTTTTTATGAAGAGTCAACTCCAAATTTAAGAAGAAGCGATTCTCAAATTTCTATAGACAGTTTAAATTCAAGTAGCTCATCGTCATTCCGGAAAGTAAGAGCCAAACTGCCAAAACTAGAGCTAAAAAAGTTTTCAGGAAGGCCACAAGACTGGCAGGAATTTTGGGATGGGTTTGTCAGTGCTGTACATGGAAATGAAGAACTTTCCGTAGTCGATAAATTTGCCTATTTAAGGTATTATCTTGAAGATTCGGCTAAAAAAGTCATTTCCGGATTCGAGCTAACAGAAAAACATTACCAAGCTGCATTAGATTTATTGAAGCAACGATTCGCAAAACCTTCGTTAATTAAAAAGGCGCATATCAAGGATCTTATTAATGCTCCAGTAGTATTTAACGAAAGGAATGTTCCTAGGATGCGTGAATTATACGATACAATTGAAACGCACTTCAGAGGTTTAGAAGCGCTCGGTGTAGATCAAGATAGTTATGCGACCATAATTGTACCTACACTAATGGAAAAAATACCCGAGCCCGTTAGATTAAACATGATAAGAGGGACAAAAAATTTCGAAGAATGGGACATTGAGACAATGCTCGCATCTTTTCGCCACGAGTTGAATGTTAGGGAACAAAACTTTTCCGTGCTCTCAGAAAAGCCGGTAACGAAACGAGACGATGGATTCAAACCGAGGCAACCGACCAAAACATCAGCAAGTGCACTCTTGTCGGGTAACGAAGGCGATAAAAATTGGAAGAAGGCTTGCGCATACTGCTTCGAAGACCACGAAGAATTGGATTGCAGCAAAGTGCAAGACATCGAAGAACGTAAACAAATTATTTTGCGTAGCGGTAGATGTTTTTGTTGTTTAAAAAAAGGTCATCGTGCTTCTAAATGCAGAGTTAAGGTTGTTTGCAAATTTTGTAAATTTAAACATCATTCGTCTATTTGCACTCGTAATAACAATTCTGTGTTGGACAAGACTTCTCCTAAGCCCAGCGCACCACCCAATTTAATAAGCACCACATCCTGTGTAGAGAAGGTTGACAGCGGGGGGAGAGCGGCATTGCAGACAGCCCAGGCTATTGTTGTAGGTAAACCACAAGTGAGGGCAAGAGTTTTGTTTGATACAGGTTCTCACAAGACTTTTGTTACTCGGGGGTTAGTAGATCACTTAGCTCTAAAGCCCATTAGAAGGGAACCCCTTGGGATTAAGACCTTTGGTTCCAACAATGTGGATGAAGGCATGAGAGAGATTGTGGAGATAAAGTTACTGCCAGTGAGAGGAGAGGGATCTGCAGTTAAATTAAATGCCTTTGTTGTTGATCATATCTCTGAAATCTCAAATGTTCACCCTGAAATTGTCAAACATGAATACGCTCATCTTGCAAATGTTTGGTTTTCAGATGTAGCTTGTTTTCAGGATTCATTAGAAGTAGACATTTTGATTGGAATAGATTTTTTTCACGAATTTCAAGAGGACAAGGTAATTCGAGGGGAGCCAGGACAACCAGTGGCAGTAAAAACAAAACTTGGTTGGGTTCTTTCTGGACCATTAGATGGTAAGAACTTGATTTATACTGACAATGTGAATACAAACTTGATTGTTGATTCCTCGTGTCACCTAGCAAGTCAGACAAATGTGCAAATGGATCATGAAATTCAAAAATTATGGGACTTGGAGACTTTAGGCATTAAGAATACTGATGAAGTTTATGATAACCTTCTTGACAACGTTGCATTCACAGGTGAAAGGTATTCAGTGAAGTTGCCTTGGAAGATGGGGCACAAACCTCTTCCATCTAATTTTGCACTTAGTCTTTCCAGGTTAAAAGGCCAATTAAAGAAGTTAAGGAAAGAGCCAAAAGTCCTTGAATCTTATGACCAAATTATCAAGGAGCAGTTAGACCAGCACATAATTGACAAGGTGACAGAGCTAGAAGTGCCTGAGAAACAACATATCTTACCTCATCATGCAGTGATTCGAAGTGAAGCCGAAACCACAAAGGTAAGAATTGTTTTTGATGCTTCTTCGAAGGAACACAAGAGCTATGCATCATTGAATGATTGTCTTCATGTAGGCCCGCCACTAACTCCATTGCTCTTTGATATTTTATTGAGATTTCGTGAATTTAAGGTTGCTATGGTTGCGGACATTGAGAAAGCCTTTCTAAATGTTGAAATAGACACCTCAGATAGAGATGTACTCAGATTTCTTTGGGTAAAGGATGTAAATGACCCTAATTCACCTATCGAAGTATATCGATTTAACAGAGTTGTTTTTGGAGTTAATTCATCACCGTTTTTGTTGAATGCTGTCCTCAGATATCACTTGTCTAACTATCAAGAGGTGGACCCAGAGTTCTCATCAAAACTTTCTAAGAGCTTCTTTGTAGATGACCTAGTATGTGGAGCAAAAAATTTGACAGATGCTAAGGAACTGTTTATTAAGTCAAAGCAGAGAATGAGAGAGGGAGGTTTTAACCTCAGAAAATGGAAATCAAGCAATATAGAGCTACAGAAGGAGTTCCAGTTAGAAAGACAGGCAAATAGTGAGAGTGAAGAAACTTATGCTAAGGAAACATTGGGTGTAGCAACACAAGAAGGTAAACTAAGGTTTTAGGTGTAGCATGGGACATAATATCTGATAAGTTTGAGTTTGACCTAAAGAATTTTGGAAACTTAGAAAGTAAGGTCACAATTACAAAGCGAGTGATGTTGAGTAGTCTTGCTAAGCTTTTTGATCCACTAGGATTTTTAAGCCCATTGACAGTCAATGCAAAGATTCTTTTTCAGGAATTGTGTTTGCAAAAATTAGACTGGGATGATGAAATACCAGATGAGCAAAGGAAGAAATGGGAAAGCTTAGTCAATGATTTTCATTCTGTAGGCATAATTTCCTTGCCACGATGCCTTTATGACAACACTAAGGACAATGTTAGAAATTGCACTCTACATGGATTTGCTGATGCCAGCAAAAAGGCTTATTGTGCAATGGTGTATCTTGTATACGAGACTGATCAAGGCATTTTTTCTAATCTCGTCTGTGCGAAAACTCGTGTTGCACCACTTAAGGAATTGAGTATCCCTAGGCTTGAATTAATGTCGGCTAAGATTTTAGCTACATTAATGAATGTTGTTGACACAGCTTTGAGTTCGCAGGTAGAAGTCAAGGAACGTTTTTGCTGGTTAGACAGCAAAACAGCACTGTTTTGGATCAATAATGCTGGTCATTGGAAACAGTTTGTCCAGCACCGTGTTGAAGAGATCCTCAAACTTTCCAGCAAAGAAAAATGGGGCCATTGTGTAGGAATCTGCAACCCAGCAGACATTGGCTCAAGGGGAGCGCTACCAAGTACACTTAAGGATAATAGACTTTGGTGGAATGGACCTCATTGGCTTTTGCTTGACAGAAAATACTGGCCCTCAGAAACGTTGTTAGAAAGCAGTGAAGAAGTTGCAGCTGAGAGAAAAAAATCAGCAGCAGTTACAACAGTGGTACAAGAAACTCCACAAGGTATGTCTCAACTTATCAAGATTGATAAATTCAGTTCATTAGATCATTTGCTGAGAGTTACATCGTGGGTCTTACGGTTTATCTCAAATTTGAAGGCAAAAGGGGAAAGAAGACCAATTAACACTAATGAACTAGATGCTTCAGAAATTTTATCTGCAGAAGCCTATTGGATTGTTGATGCTCAAGAAGTATTGCAAAGGGATTCAAAGTATAAACAGCTTGCTATAAATTTAGGCATCTTTAAGGAAGGTAAATTGTTAAGATGCAAGGGAAGGTTAGGAAACTCTGACATAGATTTTGAAGGCAAATTCCCCATAATTTTGCCAAGCCATCATAGATTAACAGAGTTAATTGTTCATGCTTGTCACAAAAGAGTCCATCATGATGGTTTGAAAGCTACTCTTGTTGAACTTAGGGCACGATTTTGGGTGCCAACGGGTAGGCAATATGTTAAGACATTGATTAACAGTTGTGTTAAGTGTAAGCAGGTCCAAGGAAAACCTTATTCGTCTGCACAAGCTGGAGATCTGCCACCTTTTAGGGTACAAGAGACCAAACCCTTTTCTAATGTGGGTATTGACTTTGCAGGTCCGTTGTATTATAAGTCGAAATCAAATGAAATGCAGAAATGTTATATTGTGCTTTATGTTTGCTGTACTACCAGAGCTTTACATCTAGATCTTGTAACTGATCTTACGGGTTCTGCCTTTATTCTTAGTTTAAGAAGATTTGCAGCGCTGAAGGGCACTCCAGATATAATAAATACGGACAATGCGCAAACGTTCAAATTTACTCATAAGTTTTTAGATAAACTTACACGTGACCATTCAGTGTTACCATATTTGCAAGCAAAAAGGATTGTATGGAAGTTCAATTTGGAACGCTCACCCTGGTGGGGGGGGGTCATTTTGAAAGAATGGTAGGTACGGTAAAGAGGTGTTTGAAAAAAGTGTTAGGAAATGCTAGAATGACATTTGATGAACTTTCTACTGTGCTTGTTGAGATACAATCTACTTTAAACAACAGGCCATTGACATATTTATATGATGAACTCGGTTATCAACCTTTGACACCATCTCATTTAATTTATGGTAGGAGACTTCCTCAGATATCTGAAGGAATTGCTTGTGACTCTGATAATCTTGATGAAGATACCACATCTCATACCAAACGATTCTTGTATTTGCTTAAGAAACTAAACCACTTTTGGTCCCGATGGAGAACCGAGTATCTTGTAGATTTGCGAGAAGTGCATAAGAAGAATGGATTCAAGGAATCAAATGCTGCAGTCGGGGACATGGTACTAGTGAAGGAAGATAACGTGAAAAGAGGCCAATGGAAGATGGGCGTGATCGTTCAGTTAATCAAGGGAAAGGATGGAATAGTAAGAGGCGCAAAGGTTTGTGTAAACGGAAGAGGTAAGCCAGAATTTTTAAATAGACCTCTACAGAAATTATTTCCATTTGAAGTACAAAGCAGATTGGCGAGGAAAAACATTATAGACGAGGAAAGTGGAAATGGGAAGGAGCATGAGAATAAAGCGGATGATCCAACCCCAGTAATCCCTGCTACTAGACCCAAGCGCGCCGCAGCAAAAGACTCGCAATGGAAAACTCGTCTTATTCTTGACTCTACATGAGTCAACGAGGGGAGTGTGTCGGAACTTTTCCATTGCTTTCGGGCATTTTTCTTCTTACCATAATTGCGTAGTGATTAGTTGCTTTTCCTGCGGTTCACTTAGATTGATCGCATGGTGAACTCGTTAGGATCGCGGTAGAACCTTTAACATTGCTTATTTACTCTAAAACTTGGCTACAGATACATGTTTAGGTAAATTTAGTTATAAGCGTTCAGCGTGTTATAGGCATGCAGCGTTATTTCTACATAAAAATTGCTGTTAATTAGCTTTAGTTGACGTAAAAATGCACATGTTATTCTTGCTTCTTATTGGTAGTTAAAATTGGAGAATTTTTGTGGCGTTAATCAGAACCAGGGACTGTATATTTAAAAGAGAGCGCGTTAATTGTGAATTTAGATGCATCGTAAGATGTAAACACGATGGTTGATACCAATGAACAAGGTAGCAGAGCAAATTTGTCTTGCTATTCTCCAGCATTCATCTTAAGATACTTCTAAAAATCTTTAGAATTAGCAACTGGGGAGTTTATAGTCCCAAAACTTTTATCTTAAATACAATGCATCCTTTGCCTTGATAAAGCATAATATTTCAGTGGACCTTTTTTTAATAACAATACAAATTACTGTCACAAAAATACCTGCCCAAAAATAAAATAAAATGTTAATATTTGAAACATAGAAAGAATAGAAGATTTGTTTTAAAAATTTGCTATTTGTACTCTATGAAGAGGTCAACCTTTATTTTTGTAAGTTGGTATGTATTGCATCAAGTGTTGATTTTTGAAAGAATGTTACGGTACATGCAATTTCATCAATTTAAATCTGTTTTAATCTCGAAACTCTATCTTGAATTAAAAGTTCTAATGGAGGTGGTTGAACATTCGGATCAAAAATTAGTGCGATGCGTTTTGGATCATCTTGCCTAATGGTATTTCTTTGTAGAACTGTTGCTGTCCTTTCCTTTCTGGCTTTCAGTACACGTGAAAGCAAGCATGTCATGTATTCATACTGCTTTGCAGTCTTGACTGGTTCTGCATGGTATGTTTTGGTCCTTCTATTGTACTTTTTCTTGAAAAGTTTCTTACCTGCCCTTGATACGGCTAGTGGTCTGAACAAATGAAGGTTGTGATCCATGGCCGCTAGAGCAATCCTTGCAATAAAATAAATATACTCGAAGGCAACTCTTTTAGGGGCATACTTTTTGAGCATGCTGTTACAGTTTTCTACATTGCCTGTGTGTCTGAATCTGCAATAAAATTCAAGGTTGGCGAGGAATTTTTTGTCAAAACAACTGACCTAAGTGCTTCAGCTGCTTTTGATTCTTTGCACAGAAAGGATTTTGGCTCTTTTTCTATTAGAGGCCCTTTAGAGGTTCTTTTTCTATTAAGGATTTTGTTCTCCTTCGTCTATTGCATGCACTCGGAAGATAGCCATGTGTGTTCTCCACAGACAAGATGCACTGTGCCAAACCAGCAGTCTTTAAGTTTCTTTAACGTCGCCATTTGCTACTTGACGTGAGTACCAAAAATGATTAACAATGCTTGGTATTTATTCTTTCAATCCTTCACAGTCTTTTCCCTTTGAAGCTTTGTGCAGCTGTTTGGATAAACTTTTAGCCTTATGCCAGACATCAAGGCTATGCATAAGTGCCTTGAGTTCTGGATGTTTTCCTACAAAAATTTATTTAACACTTTTTTGAAATATTGAACAGGTAAACATTGAATGGATAGAGCTAATAATACAAATATTTGCACTTCAATTATGTATCTATCTATCTATTTATCTATCTATCTACCTATCTATCTTTTCATGTATCTATCTATCTGTTTGCAAAAGCTATCAGTGCATAGAATTGTTTTTCCCAATTATGAGCAGGCAGAGTGGCAGAGGGGTTTATTAATTCTTAAGTTGGTAAATCTGTATGCAACCTATACCAACCCAGGACAAAAGACTTTCATGGGATACTGCTCAAAAACTATTCAATAATAGAATGCAACCTCTAAACTTGTCATTTATTTTTTAACCTTATATTTGGACATTACCTCCCAAATGTGATATTACCTTTCAAATCTGATAAACGCTTTATAATAGAGCTTGATGCATCAGTCACAACTTCGGACAAACTGAATGTTTTCATTAGTCTTTCTAGTAGTCTCGTCAACCCTTCACGTTCCATATTCGGAGAGTGACCACCAGTCTTTCTTCTATCCAAAACTTCTAGATCGATAATGATTCCAGTCAACTGTTCCATCAAAACATACACACAGTACCGGGCACTGAAACCTGGTGAATCATTCCTGCCATCACCAATTGGACACAAATCTTTGTACAGTGTCAAAATACTGGAAGTATTTTGCTTTAACTCAGTCCAGGCATCTAAGATGGTAGGTATGATAAAAAACCTTTGATTTCTGGTGAATGTGCTTTGGCTGGGAATCTTAAGTTTTAGAAACTTAGATAGCAATGCAATTTTCCCATAATGATTTCCTGACATGACAACACAGGCAGTTAACAAAATGTCATTTGTAAATACAGGTGAAGGACTTGCTACATTTACTTCCTCTGAAGAACGCCACAGTCCTTTGTGCTTTTTGACACATTCCCATCTCAAAGTCAAACTGATCCCTTTATTACTTTGTCAAAATTTACATGTTCTTGGCATATTTGGCCATTTGCAAAGGCAAAATTACACATGTTGCATTTCAGTTCAATCAACTTTTCAACAGTAACTATAATTCTGTCCCGGTTCACAATATCAGATACAACCATATCTTCTTTAAACATTGCTTGCAGCATTGACTCAAGTTTGCTGTTTATTTCTTTCACATTGCTATTAAAAGGTGCAAAAATAGTGTTGTCCATATTAAAAGTTGTGCAAAGTTCCATTTCCTGTTCTTCTAAAAAGGTCCTATTTAAATCTCTCTCTTTATCATGAATTTCATCAATTTGGTTCCCGGGATTTTCAAGAAATTCATCATCAGACCAAAACTCAAGGTCACTATCAGAAGTTAACAAAGAACTTGAATCGTCTGGATATGAGCTTGATTCATCTGAGGAAGTGCTTTGACTGTCTGAATCATTTGAGGAGTTGTCAGACAAATGATCAGATGGTTTAGTTTGTGAGCGAACCATGAAAACGAGGCTACGATATTGATAGGTGTGGCAAATTGGAACTTATTATTATTATCTAAACGCTAGCGCACAGACGTATCTACACACTATTGAAAACATTCATTCGAAAAAACTCTTGCAAAACGTCGTTGTATTGACATTCTCACGAAGATTAAATCTTATTCGAATCATTCTTGCTGTACTGTTTTTCTGATGATTTTATGGTTTTCTAAAGACAACCAGGTGATTTCTTTCCATATTTCTCTCGTTCGTCAAACTATCAAACTATTTATCTTACATTTATTCTGAATATATACAGTCCTCTAGAACTTAACTCTTGCGAACCACTCTGTGGTACCTTTTACCCTACAGCGTTTACGCTCGTTATGTTTATGTTTACGGTTGAATCTGATTCTAAGTGGGGTTTCTTAAATAGTTTGCCTAAAAAATTAATGAATTAAAACTAAAGATAAATAATAACTTAACAACGAAACCTTTCTTTCAGGAAAAAATTGAGGTATTGAAAAAACCTTTGGAAAAAATCATAGCTCGACTTTTAGATTACTGGTACACAGCAATGTGAAAGTGAATCTAAGCATAAAAAGAACTGGTACAAGCCCTTGAAAAAAAATTCAAGAGCAATTCTCATGATAATTTGTTTCCAGAAGAAGGAAAGGGGAATATGAAGCCACCCTCAAGCGAATAACAGATAATTGAATGCACACCTTTTTTTGCCCCTACTTTGCATGGTTATTTTCAGAGGTACTTTCAAGAATAAAATTCTCATATTTGGCAGAAAGACTTGAAATGTTTGTTAACACAGTTAAAATATCTTTTTTTAACACAGTTAAATAATTTTCACTTAAAAAGTATCCATAGAATAGTATCAAAATTTACCTGTGTGAGGATAAAGGATCCCTTCTAATGAATTAAAACTTTCATTCATTTTACTCATTCTAGTAGCATGAAAACTCTCAGCAAGAGTGCTACCAAGAATAGATTTAGAAGATTCTTCTTCCTCGTTTGAATGAGTAAATTGTTTTGTGTCTGATCCAAAATCACCTTCAGTTGTTTGTTCAGAAGTCATGGTTACTGGAAACTCCAATGTCCGAGCACGCTTTGGAAATCTTGGTGTAGATTCAGCAACAGGTACTGCAATAATGAGATCAATGTTCCAACACAATATTTCACCAGGCATTCATTATGTGATCATTCTCCAGGCAAACATGTCATAATATTAAATGAAATATCCATTATTGATCAAGCTAAGAGAATTAAATAGAAATCGCAATGAAACTTTTTTTGCTTAATAATAAAGTACTTTCTTTGTTCTTAGCAAAATTATGCTATCTATTTTGCTAGGTATCTTATTTATTTCACATGGACTACAGTTTTGTGCTTCTGAAAGCAAGAAAAGATATAGTATTAATACCATTTACACAGTATAAGTAATTCATAGTATAAAAAATTCCAGTATACACAGTATAAATAATTCCACTTACAATTCTTCAATCCTGTCGAACAAGCACTTGGTGATTTGAAGAGACTTATACTGGTAGGTGCCTCAACAGTTTCTTCTTCTTGTAAAGTTGAATTGTTGATATAAACATCAACATTAAATTTAGCTGTATGAGATTTAATTATAATAGACTATAAATTAATTTAAAGTTTGAGAACGAAGGAAATAAAAAAAATTATAAATTTACCTTGAATCTACATTGCATTGGTTGGAATGTGATAATTCCTTCGTGTAGCAGATCAATATGTCCAGGAGAACTTTTTATCGTTTCGGCTGTTTGTCGATGGAGTAGATGATTAGCGGCTAAGTTTAAAAGATATAGCCCAAACTCATTGTGCAAAAGAAGTTTTTCATTCGTGCTTGCTTCTTTTCTCAAACCATTCCATCTCAACAGTGTTGTCTCATTGATGTTTATCATCGTTCTGCATTCAAGCTTCTTTGGGCCTCCCATTTTGAGTTAAGTCTAAACTTAAATTAGATTTAGAACGTGAACTACAAAATTTGTTCTCTATCAACCATACGCCATTTTTTATGCATGGCATAAACTCTGGATCACAGGGAAACAAGGCCACAAAAAGAGCGCAAGGCATCAGAGTTGACCAGGACCTTGATTGACTACTTCTTTGCCGCTTTCTGGATTGTGCTTAAGGAAAGCTGTTCCCTCGAACCAGTTGCTGGTTTTGAGATTTGAAGCTGAAGACGGTCTCTGAGCAAAATCGGCAGGATTGTCAGCAGTGTGTACATAATGCCATTGGATGGGGCTGGTTGACTGCCTGATCCTGTTTAATCTAATAGTTACATATGTCTAAAAGCGTCACAAAGTATTGTTGATATATCCATAGACAACTTTGCTGTCTGTGTAGAACATTGTTTCTTGAAGCGGGATGTCAATTTCCTTGTGGATTGTCTCCGCCAATTCTACAGCCAGAACTGCAGCACAAAGTCTAGGAATGGTGTGGGCTGGTTTTGGGGCGACTCTCGACTTGGCCATAACAAAGCCTGTCTTGCACACAGTGCCATAAAAAACTCTCAGATAGCGAACAGCACCAATTTGCTACAGTAGATCCATCACGAAAAATAGCCATCTCCATCCTAGTAGCGGTTTCCAGCAACGAGTCAGTATAACATCTGGGAAGCATTAAGTTGTTCGGGGCTTCAATTGATGATACCCATGCATTCCATTTCACCTTCTTTTCGTCTTCAATTGGATCGTCTCATCCCACTGTTCCTGTGGTCAGTTCTCTAACAAGCAATCTGCCTTCTAGAGTGACTGGTGCCACAAAGTCAAACGGATCATATATGCTGTTGACAATGGAGAGCAAACCTCTCTTTCTAAACTGTTTCTCCTTTGAAGGAACTTTAACAAGGAACGTGTTGTCTTTTAGGTCCGAAACAATCCCAAGACTTCTTTGAAAAGGTGGCTCGTCTTTGGAGAGGTCAATATCCTTCAGATCTTCTGCTATGTCTTCTGTGTTTGAATGCAGCCACGACCTTCTGAGAGTTCAATGCTACTTTGTGCAGATTGATACTGCTTTCCGGCAACATGGACTTGCTTCTTTTCAGAAGATCAATGTCTTCTTCTGGAGTAGCAGTGCCAATGAGTCTGTCGACATAGAAGTTCATTTTCATAAAGTTTGCAGCATCTTCGCCATATTGAGCTGCCCCTTCCTCTGCTGCCTTGGCCAGAAGGCCAATGGCCACGGATGGTGAGGGTTTGTTGCCAATGACATGGACATTTATTCGGTAGTCTATAGGCTCTTTTGACAAATCGTTACCTTCAAACCAAATGAATCTCAAGTAGTCATGGTGTTCTTCTCTGACGTAGAAGTAGTAGAACATCTGCTAAATGTCAGCCATCACTGCTACTGGCTCTTTACTGAACCGTAAAAGGACTGCAAGTAGCGTATTGTTCAGGTCTGGTCCAGCTAAGAGGGCATCGTTCAAAGACACGGCATGGAACTTGTCGCTTGAGTCATAGACAATTCTGATCTTGTTCGGCTTCATTGGATAAAAGACCTCAAAAAATGGAAGGTAGAATACTTCTTGACCATCCTTTAGGGGTGGAGCAGGTTCAGCGTGGCCACTGGCAAACATGTTCTGCATAAAGGCTTGATACTGCTCTGCTAATTTGGGTTTTGACTGCACCCTGCGTGTAACGTTTCGGAACCTCTTCATTGCAACTGATCAATTGTTCCATAATGGATTTATTTCAGGCTTTAAAGGGAGCGGCATCTCCCAGTTGCCAGCAGTATTTTTATTTGCTTCTGTAGTAAGAATTCTCATGAATTGCAGGACTTAAATGGAGTTTGCTGGGACGTTGTCTGCACTAGAGGTAGCAAATATGTCTTCAGATACTGTGACATGACTTTGACACCAATCAGCATTGCTGGCTGCTGCAGCATGTAAGCAGCTTTCTATGATGTTGACCCACCCAAGATCAAGACGTCGTGCGAATGGTGCATTTTTTGGTCCATCAATTATGCTCCCAGACTTTGTGTCCTTGGAGAACGTCCCTCTCAATGCGTAGTGCGATAGGTACATCAGGCTCAACTGGCTCCATCTTCTCGGTTATGCTGCTTAGGTGTGGGTAGGCCTGCACTTCGTCTGGGACTGGAATTTCTGGATAGTTATCCAGAATGTTGCTGCACTCTCTTACATACGAGGGCCATTCAAAAAGTTTCCAGATATAAGAAATCTGTTATAAAGAAATGTACGTTTCTGCTAAAAATGAAATCATGTAAATAACGTATTTTGGAAGTTATGTTTACATAGCTTGAAAAACATGAACACAGCTGAATTTTAAATGTGAATAGCTCGATGTAATCACTATTCAGTCATGGAGCTCCAACGCACTCAATGGCGGGCTATGATTTTTTATGACTTTAAAAGTGGATTAAATCAAAGGCAAAGCCTTGAACGACTTCAGGCTGCCTTTGGAAATGAAGCACCTTCAAGGACAACTGTTTACGACTGGTTTGCGGAATTTCGAAGGGGCAGGAACTCTTTGGAAGATGACCCCCACTCTGGGCGTCCAACAACAGCAACAACAGAAACCAAAGTGGCTGCCGTACGAAGAATGATAGAGGAAGATTCAAGAGTAACGGTCCTACAAATTGCTGAAAGTGTTGGAATATCATCGGGAAGTCCCTACATGATGTTCTTGGACTCAGCAACATCCTACATTATGTTCTTGGACTCAGTAAAGTTTCTGCAAGATGGGTGCCACACATGCTGACAGATGAGCAAAAATGCAAGAGGGTGCAATGGTGCCGCAAAATGATCGAAAGATTTGACAGAGGGAGGTCAAACGCTGTTTGGGAGATCGTCAGTGGGGATGAAACTTGGATTTACAGTTTTGACCCAGAAACAAAACAGCAGTCTCAGCAATGGACCCCAGTTGGACAAAAGCCCCCGCAGAAATTTGCCCGTTGCCGCACCGTCGCCAAACAGATGATTGCAGTTTTTGTCTCTCGTGTGGGCCATGTGGCAACCATTCCACTTGTAACGCAGCGAACAGTTACTGCTGCCTGGTAGGTGCGAGACTGCCTTCCTTGTGTTCTTGCTGCAGTTGCTGAAAGGCGCCCAAGAACTCGACACCGTGGGATGCTGCTGCATCATGACAACGCTGCAGCGCACAGAGCAAACGCTACACAGGAATTCCTGCAAATGGAGAAAGTACAACAGCTAGATCATCCACCTTACAGTCCAGACCTGGCTCCCTGTGACTTCTTTGTGTTCCCTCTTATCAAGTCGAAGCTCCGTGGGGTGAGGTTTGACACCCCTGATCTTGCAGTAGAGGCAATTTTGGAGCACATCCAGGCTATACCACAAACAGAGTGGGCTAACATGTTCCACAAATGGTTCCAGCGCATGAAAAAGTGCATAGATAATGCTGGAGAGTACTTTGAAAAAATGTAGATAAAACTGTTTAGTTAGTATTGCCGCGTATTAGTATAACCGGAAACTTTTTGAATGCCCCTCGTATCGCAGCTTGATAACAACTTTGTCATCGTAGGACTTGGCCCTGAGAGACATTGTGCTTCTTCCTTTTATGAATTTTTCTCCCGCACATGTTTTCATCCTGTACCCTGGTGCATCTCCCAAAACAGCCAGCTTATCAAACAGTACTGGCTTGGCCAGGTTCGAGTTACTCTGGTCATCAATGATGGTGTAAACCATACTGGATTTTCCATTGCTGTCCTTCAGTACTTCAACTTTGCATATCTTTGAGCATGATCTGCCTCCTGGTATATTTTTGCACACAGATGTACAGGCGTTGCTGACTGCGGTTGCTGCTGGTGGCTCTTGATGTTGTGCTTCTGATGTTGTGTGGTCATGTCCTCCCCACCGTCTTCTTGCCGAGAAGCGGGACTTCGAGTAAAGCCAATT